AAGAGTCTAACTCCTTAATTTATTAACCCTTTCAGGGTCTGTGCCGTAGATCTATGGCTTTACAGTAAGGGTCCAAACCGTAGATCTACGCCATGAGCTCAGCTCACTCTGATAAGCTGTGAGTGGTAAATTTGGGCCTAGATATGAGAGAATACATCTATGTGGTATGTGTGCACCACATAAAACAAATCCTTCAGCACACAGTGATAATGAGAGAAAAAGAATCTGAGACCGTAATTTTCAATTAAAACAGCAACTTTGCAGTGTTTTTTTGTAAGTTTTTTATAGTTGTACAGTGGACCCCTGGTTTGCGATATTAATCCATTCCTGAGAGCTCATCCTAAATCAAAATTATCGAAAAGCGAATCAATTTTCCCCATAAGAAATATTTTTTTTTTTTTTTTTTATTATCACACCGGCCGATTCCCACCAAGGCAGGGTGGCCCGAAAAAGAAAAACTTTCACCATCATTCACTCCATCACTGTCTTGCCAGAAGGGTGCTTTACACTACAGTTTTTAAACTGCAACATTAACACCCCTCCTTCAGAGTGCAGGCACTGTACTTCCCATCTCCAGGACTCAAGTCCGGCCTGCCGGTTTCCCTGAATCCCTTCATAAATGTTACTTTGCTCACACTCCAACAGCACGTCAAGTATTAAAAACCATTTGTCTCCATTCACTCCTATCAAACACGCTCACGCATGCCTGCTGGAAGTCCAAGCCCCTCGCACACAAAACCTCCTTTACCCCCTCCCTCCAACCCTTCCTAGGCCGACCCCTACCCCGCCTTCCTTCCACTACAGACTGATACACTCTTGAAGTCATTCTGTTTCGCTCCATTCTCTCTACATGTCCGAACCACCTCAACAACCCTTCCTCAGCCCTCTGGACAACAGTTTTGGTAATCCCGCACCTCCTCCTAATGGAAATCAAATTAATACGTGCAAGACACCCAAAAGTATGAAAAAATTTTTTTTACCACATGAAATATTAAGTTTAATGCACACAAACTGAAGAAGACATGCACAGTTTGTAGTACTCTACTAACAATAGAATACATGACACTTACCTTTAATGAAGATCTGGTGATGATTGATGGGATGGGAGGAGGGGAGAGTGTCGAACTTATTGTTTAGAAGGGGAATCCCCTTCCATTAGGACTTGAGGTAGCAAGTCCTTTTCCAGGGTTACTTCCCTTCTTCTTTTAATGCCACTAGGACCAGCTTGAGAGTCACTGGACCTCTGTCGCACAACAAATCTGTCCGTAGAGCTCTGTACCTCCCGTTCCTTTATGATTTGTCTAAAATGGGCCACAATATTGTCATTGTAATAGCTGTGTTAGGGTGATTTTCATCCATAAAGGTTTGCAGTTCAACCCACTTTGCACACATTTCCTTAATTTTTGAAGTAGGCACAATGGATTCCACAACTGGCATAGGCTTCTCAGGGTTAGCCCCAAACCCTTCAAAATCTTTCTTAATTTCCATACTAATTCTCACCCCTTTTTATTTACCACAGGGTTGGCACTAGAAGCTTTCTTGGGGCCCATGGTGACTTATTTTGCAGAAACAAGCACCAAAAACACTGTGATAATATGGAATGTACCGAAAGTATCCTTAGATGTGAGTACACTGGCTGGCTTGTAAACACTGGCACACACAGGGCAGTTCAGGCCACACATGGACATGTCTCAGACGAATCGCGTATACCGGGTTTTTTAATGAGAACCGAGGCAAAATTTTTGCGTTAAAATGTATCGACTACCGGATTTATCGGATACCGATGCCATCGCAAACCGGGGGTCCACTGTATTTGCGATTTCTTGGTCTCATTTGATAGAATGGAAGATATATTACAGAAATAGAGATGATTTTGATTGGTTTTAGTACTGAAAATGGCTTGAAGTTGACCTCAAAGTAGCGGAAATGTTTAATTTTTTCCGATGTTCAAGAGTAAACATATGACCTCACACATCTAATACACGCCAGCTGGTGGGTCTAATATATGTTCACAAATGTGCTGATATTATTTATACAATTTTATTATTATCACACTGGCCGATTCCCACCAAGGCAGGGTGGCCCGAAAAAGAAAAACTTTCACCATCATACACTCCATCACTGTCTTGCCAGAAGGGTGCTTTACACTACAGTTTTTAAACTGCAACATTAACACCCCTCCTTCAGAGTGCAGGCACTGTACTTCCCATCTCCAGGACTCAAGTCCGGCCTGCCGGTTTCCCTGAATCCCTTCATAAATGTTACTTTGCTCACACTCCAACAGCACGTCAAGTATTAAAAACCATTTGTCTCCATTCACTCCTATCAAACACGCTCACGCATGCCTGCTGGAAGTCCAAGCCCCTCGCACACAAAACCTCCTTTACCCCCTCCCTCCAACCCTTCCTAGGCCGACCCCTACCCCGCCTTCCTTCCACTACAGACTGATACACTCTTGAAGTCATTCTGTTTCGCTCCATTCTCTCTACATGTCCGAACCACCTCAACAACCCTTCCTTACAATATTGCATGACAGTAAATCTTCTATTTTTTGGTCTGAATAAAAAATCATTATGTGAATAAAAAATCAAAATGGAATTCATTTGTAAAGACTGAAAACATAACTAATGAACAAAGGAAATGTTAGTTTAGTGCCAGGAATACCTACATTGTTTATTCTGGATCCTATTTTGAAATTGGAATATTTTGAACTTTGCACTAAATTGGCCAAATTACCAATTTCTAATCACTTTATTTTGTAGTTGAAACAGTTGACTTGGTGATTTCTTGTGCTCAATCGATATAATAGAAGTAATACTAGTGAAAAAGCTGAGAATTTGATTGACTGGAATAATGTAATTGGCCTAAAATGGGAGTCTAAGTTGGCAAAATTGCAGATGCATAAATATCGCTGACACATCAAAATTTGCGAGAGCATAATTTCGTCAATTTTCCATCAAATTTCGTACTTTTTGTTTTATTACCTTCAGAAAAAGATTCTCTACCATTTCATAAGAAAAAAATAAAATTATTTTTTGAAAATTCTTGGACACTGGTGCGCACTTTGAAATTTGGCCTCTGGACCCTGAAAGGGTTAAATTGAACTAAATATTACCACCTAGACACCTTTGTTATTAACCCGTAAATGGTCCAAGCAGATCTACGTTCACATGTGTAGTGCTACAAAAGTAGATCTACGTTTTTTTGACATATTTTCAAATATAACAAAAAAAAAAAAAAAAAAAAAAAAAAGGAAATCAAAGTTTTTTTTACACGTTTTCAAATGTAAAAAAAATAAAAATCTACTTTTTTTTACATACTTTAAAATGTTGAAAAAACGTATATATATGTTTGGACCGTTTACGGGTTAAACATCTCAACTTTTACTTCGTTGGTTTGTATTCATCCACTTGTAAGCCAAAGGCACTACTGAGAACCAACATAATATATGGGGTAACTGAACTAGAATTAAAGCTGACAAATCTGTAGCAAAAATTAGAAACAGACTAGATGCTAGAGAGGGATCAATAAGTTGACCTTCTAGCTTTCTCTGGGGATCTCTTCAATAATAAATGTCGCATTGTGTAACACCAACGGTATGAAATGTATCGCCACAGTTAACCAGTGTTGGTACTGGAACCACCACCTGTGATACTGGATGTATCACCACAGTTAGCCAGTGTTGGTACTGGAACCACCACCTGTGATACTGGATGTACCACCACAGTTAGCCAGTGTTGGTACTGGAACCATCACCTGTGATACTGGATGTATCACCACAGTCAGCCAGTGTTGGTACTGGAACCACCACCTGTGATACTGGATGTACCACCACAGTCAGCCAGTGTTGGTACTGGAACCATCACCTGTGATACTGGATGTATCACCACAGTCAGCCAGTGTTGGTACTGGAACCACCACCTGTGATACTGGATGCATCACCACAGTTAGCCAGTGTTGGTACTGGAACCACCACCTGTGATACTGGATGCACCACCACAGTCAGCCAGTGTTGGTACTGGAACCACCACCTGTGATACTGGATGCACCACCACAGTTTGCCAGTGTTGGTACTGGAACCACCACCTGTGATACTGGATGTACCACCACAGTCAGCCAGTGTTGGTACTGGAACCACCACCTGTGATACTGGATGCACCACCACAGTTAGCCAGTGTTGGTACTGGAACCACCACCTGTGATACTGGATGCATCACCACAGTTAAACCAGTGTTGGAAATGGAACCACCACCTGTGATACTGGATGTAACCACCAGTCAGCCATGGTTTGGTACTGGAACCACCACCTGTGAACTGGATGCACCACCACATTTTAGCCATGTTGGTACTGAACCACCACCTGTGATACTGGATGTACCACCACAGTCAGCCAGTGTTGGTACTGGAACCACCACCTGTGATACTGGATGTACCACCACAGTCAGCCAGTGCTGGGACTGGAACCACCACCTGTGATACTGGATGCATCACCACAGTTAGCCAGTGTTGGTACTGGAACCACCACCTGTGATACTGGATGCATCACCACAGTTAGCCAGTGTTGGTACTGGAACCACCACCTGTGATACTGGATGTACCACCACAGTCAGCCAGTGTTGGTACTGGAACCACCACCTGTGATACTGGATGTACCACCACAGTCAGCCAGTGCTGGGACTGGAACCACTATCAGTGACATGAATCACCATAATTTAACTGGGTATTTGTGAATCAGTTGGATATTTGAGAAGCAAGTAAAAATATTGGAATACCATGGAAGCGAAAAAATAAAAAATAATTCATATGGAAGTGGGGAAACTGAGAGTAAACAAACCTGATGCAAGGAAGGAGAGGGTAGCTCCAGTTCCTTGAATCTAGAACACTTCACCAGATACTAGTTATGATGCCACAAAATGAATGTGAAAACTATGAATTTTGATGAATGTTAGACCATTTTCAAGATATGTATGTATTATGGTTAAATTACCCAAATTACTAACTTCCTGTGGTGTTCCAAGCCTTTTTGCTGGAATGCCAGCACGACCTCTTTCAAAGATGCTATCGTCGCCATAGTTCGCTGCTGCTGTTGGAGAGTATATGGAGCTTCCTGGAGCCACACAGTTGATTCGTACTCCATCAGCAGCCCATTCTACTGCAAGAGACTGAATTAAGGTGTTAAAATGAATCTGATGCATTTTAAAATTAAGAACTATAAATTAAGAACTATAAATGTACAGATCTAATAAACCATCATGAAATACATTGTATATGACATCGCATGTGTCTGGTTACACCAATGTGTATGATGTATAGCATATACAGTGGACTCCCAGTTTACGATATTATTTCATTCCAGAAGTATGTTCAGGTGCCAATACTGACCGAATTTGTTCCCATAAGGAATATTGTGAATTAGATTAGTCCATTTCAGACCCTCAAACATACACATACAAACGCACTTTCATAATTTGTCGCATTGGGAGCTGATCATAAACCAGGGGTCCACTGTACTTGATTTTTTCCTGCCTTCAATTTGTTTATGTCCCACTTCGGACATCAACAAAAAAAAAGTTTGCCACGAGTTCCAGGCCATTGTGGATAAATGCCTCTGCAGAAGTTTTGAAACACTGGCAAGGGTACAACACAACTTGACTGGGAGTGAAAACTGACATGTTTCATATGCTGGAGACAACAGTGACAGAGAGGAGTTGTGTTTTGTAGAGAAGAGAATTTTTGTAGAGAATTTTTGTAGAGAATTTTTGTAGAGAATTTTTGTAGAGAATTTTTGTAGAGAATTTTTGTAGAGAATTTTTGTAGAGAATTTTTGTAGAGAATTTTTGTAGAGAATTTTTGTAGAGAATTTTTGTAGAGAATTTTTGTAGAGAATTTTTGTAGAGAATTTTTGTAGAGAATTTTTGTAGAGAATTTTTGTAGAGAATTTTTGTAGAGAATTTTTGTAGAGAATTTTTGTAGAGAATTTCTCTGATTCTGAAGATAATGAAGTAAATGACAACAGAAATGTAAGTAACGTCAGTGGAAACCCAAGATTTAGCAGTGGTGTCCACGTCTGGCCTAGGTAGACAAGGACAGGTCTATATTCATCAAAGTGATAGTGAAATTAGCAATATGAGTGATGGCAATGGAACATGAATAGGATTACTATGAGACACTGCTGACCCTCTGTGCATCCGATGTCAAAGGGTCTAGTAATGCACTGTATGTACTTGAAATATTCTATGGTGACATAACTAGAAATATTAGTGATGCGGGAGAAGGTAGTTAAAGATATTCTGTAGAAGATGAGTAATATTGTAGAAAATACTGTAGTGTCACCACCTACTTTGTTACAAACATGTGACATCGTAAGTAACACCACAAGCTGGCACCACGAGCTGTGACACCACAAGCTGTGACACCACAAGCTGGCACCACGAGCTGTGACACCATGAGCTGTAACACCACAAGCTGTGACACAAGCTGTGACACCACAAGCTGTAACACCACAAGCTGGCACCACGAGCTGTGACACCACAAGCTGTGACACCACAAGCTGTGACACCACAAGCTGGCACCACGAGCTGTGACACCACAAGCTGTGACACCACAAGCTGTGACACCATGAGCTGTAACACCACAAGCTGTGACACAAGCTGTGACACCACAAGCTGTAACACCACAAGCTGGCACCATGAGCTGTGACACCACAAGCTGGCACCACGAGCTGTGACACCACAAGCTGTGACACCACAAGCTGTGACACCACAAGCTGTGACACCACAAGCTGGCACCACGAGCTGTGACACCACAAGCTGTGACACCACAAGCTGTGACACCACAAGCTGGCACCACGAGCTGTGACACCACAAGCTGGCACCACGAGCTGTGACACCACAAGCTGTGACACCACAAGCTGTGACACCACAAGCTGGCACCACGAGCTGTGACACCACAAGCTGTGACACCACAAGCTGTGACACCACAAGCTGGCACCACGAGCTGTGACACCACAAGCTGTGACACCACAAGCTGTGACACCACAAGCTGGCACCACGAGCTGTGACACCACAAGCTGTGACACAAGCTGTGACACCACAAGCTGGCACCACGAGCTGTGACACCACAAGCTGTGACACCACAAGCTGGCACCACAAGCTGGCACCACGAGCTGTGACACCACGAGCTGTGACACCACAAGCTGTGACACCATGAGCTGTGACACCACAAGCTGTAACACCACAAGCTGTGACACCACAAGCTGTAACACCACAAGCTGTGACACCACAAGCTGTAACACCACAAGCTGTAACACCACAAGCTGTAATGCCACAAGCTGTGACACCACAAGCTGTAACACCACAAGCTGTAACACCACAAGCTGTAATGCCACAAGCTGTGACATCACAAGCTGTAACACCACAAGCTGTAATGCCACAAGCTGTGACACCACAAGCTGTGACACCACAAGCTGTGACATCACAAGCTGTAACACCACAAGCTGTGACACCACAAGCTGTAACACCACAAGTTGTAACACCACAAGCTGTGACACCACAAGCTGTGACACCACAAGCTGGCACCACGAGCTGTGACACCACAAGCTGTGACACCACAAGCTGGCACCACAAGCTGGCACCACGAGCTGTGACACCACGAGCTGTGACACCACAAGCTGTGACACCATGAGCTGTGACACCACAAGCTGTAACACCACAAGCTGTGACACCACAAGCTGTAACACCACAAGCTGTGACACCACAAGCTGTAACACCACAAGCTGTGACACCACAAGCTGTAACACCACAAGCTGTAATGCCACAAGCTGTGACACCACAAGCTGTGACATCACAAGCTGTAACACCACAAGCTGTGACACCACAAGCTGTAACACCACAAGCTGTAACACCACAAGCTGTAATGCCACAAGCTGTGACACCACAAGCTGTGACATCACAAGCTGTAACACCACAAGCTGTGACACCACAAGCTGTAACACCACAAGCTGTGACACCACAAGCTGTGACACCACAAGCTGTAACACCACAAGCTGTGACACCACAAGCTGTGACACCACAAGCTGTAATGCCACAAGCTGTAATGCCACAAGCTGTGACACCACAAGCTGTGACACCACAAGCTGTGACATCACAAGCTGTAACACCACAAGCTGTGACACCACAAGCTGTAACACCACAAGTTGTAACACCACAAGCTGTGACACCACAAGCTGTGACACCACAAGCTGTGACACCACAAGCTGTAACACCACAAGTTGTAACACCACAAGCTGTGACACCACAAGCTGTAACACCACAAGCTGTGACACCAGTTTCTTATGACAGATGTGTTTAAAGGCATTTTAGCACGTCAAACAAATTCCAGGACATAATTGGAGACAGAACTATATACAGAAGACGAGGTAATTATGAATGGTTTACTGATTAAAAATAGCTTGAAATCGAACTCAAAGTAGCAGAAATGTTCAATTTTTGACGATGTTGAAGAGTAAACAAAGCACGTCATGTGTCCAATACACATCAACTGGCGGGTCTAACATGCACTCACAAATGCGCTGATATTATTTATACAATTATTACAATTATGCAGTAGTCTGAATAACTGTATATCACCTATTTTTTGTGTGAATAAAAATTCAAAATGAAACTCAAGAATAATATAACAGGGGCCTGGAGATGTTACTGATGAACTGAGAAAATGCTATTTTAGTGCCAGAAATGTCTGCATTGTTTACTCTAAACCCTACTTTGAAATTGGCCTTCCTTAAATTTTGTGAGAAACTGACCAAATTAGTAATTTCTGATCACTTTTTTTGTGTAGTTGAAACAGGTAAATGGGTAGTTTCTTGTACTCATTCGATAGAATAAAAGGAGTTCTAGTGAAATAGCTATGAGTTTGGTCAAGTGGAACAAAGCAATTGGCCGAAAATAGGGCTCAAAGTGGGCGAATCGCCAATGCAAACATATTGCCGAGACTATTAACTTAGTGAGAGCGTAATTCTGTAAGTTTTCCATCAAATTTCGAACTTTTAGTTTCATTACTTTCAGAAGATTATCATTTCATGATATTTTTTATTTTTAAATTCTTTACACTATGAGCAAGTCTGTGAGCATGGGTCTTGACACTAAAAGGGTTAATTTACATATTCCTTGAATTTATTCATTTATATTCCCTCTTCTCCTTTCATAACTGATCCTTCAACATTATTGCTGCCCCCTTCCTTAGCTCTAACTCTCTCAGATACCCTTGACCCAATCCCATTTATTTCTCCCCAATGAAACTCTCCTACCAAACCTGCACATGAAAATCAATTCTTATGAAAACAAAAGACTTGGCAGGAGCTGCAACATTCCCCCGATGAAAAGCGGGGGCGCCACGAGTACATTCAGAGACAACACAATAAGTGTCTGGGGCCCAAGACTCAAGTGCCTCCCAGCATACATGAGGGGGATTACCAATAGACCCCTGGCTGTCTACAAGAAGGCACTGGACAGGCACCTAAAGTCAGTACCTGACCAACCAGGCTGTAATTCGTACTTCAGTTTGTGTGGGGCTGGCAGTAATAGCCTGGTTGATCAGGCTGTGATCCACCATGACATTAGCAATCATCTCTTTCTCATCATCTGCGCTACATCTCAGCTTTATAAAGTTCTTATTATTTATAGAAATTTATTGTATATATTTTGGTAGAATTACCGACAACATGTAAAGTAAAAGGACACAAGTGCAACTAATGTGACATTTTATTGTGGCAACGTTTCGCTCTCCAGGAACTTTGTCAAGCGTAATGGCTTGACAAAGCTCCTGGAGAGCGAAACGTTGCCACAATAAAATGTCACATTAGTTGCACTAGTGTCCTTTTACTTTACACTTAGAAATTTATGCAGAAAAAGGGGTTACTAGCCTACTGCTCCCAACATTTGAGTCCAAACTTATGAAACACTTACAGAGGAAAGTTCCTTTCTCCACTTCCCCCATGGAGATAAAAGGAAATAGATAAGAACAAGAACCCTTGTCTGTCACAACCCCAAGTCCGGAGGTGTCTCCTGGTGTCGCAAAAATTAAAAAAAAAATTATTATTTCTTATGAAATGATAGAGAATCTTTTCCCGATTATAATGACACCAAAAGAACTAAATTTGAAGGAAAACTGATGGAATTACGCTCTTGTGAAGTTAGCAGCCTCGGCGATATTTACGAATTGGCGATTTCGCCCACTTTGAGCCATGTTTTCAGCTAATTCCTTTGTTCCAGTTGACCAAACTCATAGCTATTTCTTTAGAACTCCATTTTTTCTATTGACTGAGTACAAGAAACTGCCCATTTACCGATTTCAACTACCCAATAACGTCGTCAGAAATTTGCAATTTGGCCAATTTCACAAAAATTAAAAACATATGACAATTTCAAAATAGGGTCCAGAATGAACAATGGACATTCCTGGCTCTAAAATAACATTTTCTTTGTTCATCAGTCATGTCTCCAGGCCCCTCTGATATTACTCTTGGTTTCTATTTTGAAATTTTATTCAAACAAAAAATAGAAGATTTACTATTATGCAGACTACTGCAATACTGTAATAATTGTATAAATAACATCAACACATTCATGACAGCATATTAGAATGGCTAGTTGGAGATTTATTGGACAATGACATCATTTGTTTACTTTTGAACATTGGCAAAAATCAAACATTTCCCCTACTTTGAGCTCCATTTCCAGGTTCTTTTTATAGTAAAACCAACCAAAATCACCCCCATGTCTATAATATGTTTTCCATTCTATCAAATGAGACCAAGAAAATGAAAATATAACCATAAACACTATACAAAAATAGACCACAAAGTCGGCATTTTAATTAAAAAAACGGTCAGAGTTTTTTTTCCTCATTATGCACTGCGTGCTGCAGGATTTTTTTTATATGGTGCACACTGAATACACAGACCCATTCTCTCACATGTGGGCCTACCAGCTTTCTCCTGCTTGATTTGAAGCTGCTAGAATTTATGAGTACATATACGTCGAACACGGTGGCTCATAAGACATATATATACGACCGAAACAATCAAAGGGTTAAGAAAAAGAGAAGAAAAATTAGACAGGTGTGTATACCTATACTTCTTTCAATAAAGCGGCTGTATCCCACCAAGGCGGGGTGACCCAAAAGGAAAACCAAAAGTTTCTCCTTTTAAATTTAGTAATACATACAGGAGAAGGGGTTATTAGCCCCTTGCTCGCAGCATTTTAGTTGCCTCTTACACAACGCATGGCTTACGGAAGAAGAATTCTGTTCCACTTCACCATGGAGATGAGAGGAAATAAACAAGAACAACAATTAGAGGCACGTGTATATATATATAAGCTTGTACAGTGGATCCTCAACCAGCGATGGCATCGATTAACGATAAATCTGACTAGCGATACATTTTAACGCAAAAATTTTGCCTCGACTAGCGCTTAAAAACCTGACCAACGCTATTCGTTCCGTTCAAGACGCGTCCACTTTGGCCTGAGCACGCCCCACTTGTCCCCTGGGTGCCAAGCAGGACGTACATTACTCAGGAGGAAAAGGCACTCCCAGGACATAAGCCTATGAAAGACAGGCTTACTCTGTTGATGTGTGCCAATGCTAGTGGTGACTGCAAAGTGAAGCCTTTATTGGTGTATCACTCTGAAACTCCCAGTGTGTTCAGGAAAAACAATGTCGTCAAGGCAAATTTGTGTGTGCTGTGGAGGGCAAACAGTAAGGCATGGGTCACTAGGGACTTTTTCTATGACTGGTTACACCATGCATTTGCCCCCAATGTGAAAAATTACCTAATTGAAAAGAAATTAGACCTTAAGTGCCTCCTGGTATTAGACAATGCTCCTGGTCATCCTTCAGACTTGGCAGAGCGACTTTCTAGGGACATGAGCTTCATTAAGGTGAAGTTTTTGCCTCCTAATACCACTCCTCTCCTACAGCCCATGGACCAACAGGTCATTTCCAACTTCAAGAAACTGTACACAAAAGCTATGTTTGAAAGGTGCTTTGTAGTGACCTCAGAAACTCAACTGACTCTAAGAGAGTTTTGGAAGGATCACTTTAATATCCTCAATTGTGTAAACATTATAGGTAAGGCTTGGGAGGGAGTGACTAAGAGGACCTTGAACTCTGCTTGGAAAAAACTGTGGCCAGAATGTGTAGACAAAAGGGATTTTGAACGGTTTGAGGCTAACCCTGAGAATCCTATGCCAGTTGAGGAATCAATTGTGGCATTGGGGAAGTCCTTGGGGTTGGAGGTTAGTGAGGAGGATGTGGAAGAGTTGGTGGAGGAGGACAATGAAGAACTAACCACTGATGAGCTGCTAGATCATCTTCAACAGCAAGAGGCCAGACCTGAGGAAACTGCTTCGGAGGAGGGAAGAGAGAAATTGAAGAAGTTGCCTACTTCTAAGATTAAGGAAATATGTGCAAAGTGGCTTGAAGTGCAAACCTTTATTGATGAAAATCACCCTGACACAGCTACTACAAGCCGTGTTGGCAACCTGTACACTGACAATGTTGTGAACCACTTTAGGAAAGTCATAAAGGAACGAGAGGTACAGGTCTCTATGGACAGACATGTTGTGCAACAGAAGTCCAGTGACTCTGAAGCTGGTCCTAGTGGCATTAAAAGAACAAGGAAACTAACCCCAGAAAAAGACTTGCTACCTCAAGTGCTAATGGAAGGGGATTCCCCTTCTAAACACTAAGAAGATCAATGCTCTCCCCTCCTCCCATCCCATCAATCATCACCAGATCTTCAATAAAGGTAAGTGTCATGTAACTGTGCATGTCTTCTTCAGTTTGTGTGTATTAAAATTAATATTTCATGTGGTAAAAATTTTTTTTTCAATACTTTGGGGTGTCTTGCACGGATTAATTTGATTTCCATTATTTCTTATGGAGAAAATTAACTTGACTAACGATTATTTCGATTAACGATGAGCTCTCAGGAACGGATTAATATCGCTGGTTGAGGGTCCACTGTACATGCATGTGTAGTGTGACGTAGGTGTAAGCAGAGTTAGCAAGACGCACCTGTTTTCTTGCTTGTGAGAAATGACGCCAACAATTTTATCATTGTGTAAAACAATTACAGGTTTCTGTTTCACATGCATCTGGGTGCTGGGTGGTTGGTGTCTACCATCCACTTACAGTAACATTCTTAAATGTTAATTATTAGCAAAAAAGCCTAAATATTTTTACTTTACAAAAACTAAGCCTGTTGAATATACCTGGTAACCTGTATGGTAATTATTGAAAGAATTATGAGTAAGACAGTGAGCAGGATTGCAGATGAAGAAGGCTTTAGGAAGGGTAGGGGATTTGTAGACTAAATGTTTACATAGTGAAGCACTTAGGTGAACAGCATTTGGAATAGGGTAGAGTTCTGTTGCATTTATGGATTTGTAAAGGACATATGATAGGGTGGATAACAGTTAAGAGTTTTTACAAGGACAGTGAGGCTCAGGTTAGAGTATGTAGGAGAGAGGGAGATTATTTCCCAGTAAAAGTAGGCCTTAGGAAGGGCTGAGTGATGTCACCATGGCTGTTCAGTATATTTATAGATAGGATTGTAAGAGAAGTGACTGTTCGGGTGTTGGCAAGAGGTGTGAGATGGATTAAAAAAGTCTTTCACAAAGAAGGAATTCTCATATATGCTTTTTGCTGATGACACGGTGCTTTTGGGAGATTCTGAAGAGAAGTTACAGTTTGGTGGACGAATTTGGGAGAGTATGTAAAAGAAGGAAATTAAAAATGAACCTAGGAAAGAGCATGGTAATGAAGATAACAAAACTTTAGGAAATGAAAGACCGGATACCATATTAGAGGGAGTATGAAGGAAGTGACGTGTTCAGATATTTGGAAGTGAACTTGTCAGCAGATGGATCTATGAAAGACAAGGTGAACCATAGAATTAACAAGGGGAAAAAAGTGAGTGGTACACTGAAGAGTCTGTGGAGATGAAGAATGTTATCCATGGAAGCAGAGAGGAGTATGTTTAAGAGTATAGTGGTACCAACACTCTTATATGGGTGTGAACATTGGGTGGTGAATGTTGCATCAAGAAAAAGGCTGGAGGTAGTGGAGATGTCATGTCTGAGGGCAATGTTGCGTTTTTTTAACTATAGTATCTGCATGCCTCTGGCAAGATAGTGATGGAGTGAGTGATGAACAAGTGTTTCTTCTTTTTTTTTTTTTTTGCATCACCCTGCATCGGTGGCAAACAGCCGATGTTAAAGAATGAAGCAATAAAAACATTTTTGATAAATATTGAGGAGAAATACCTTAGTTAAGTTGTCAACCCCTGCACGTGCTGCTCCTGTATGAGCCATCATCGGGAGGCCACGGAACATGTCAGCAATGATGTTAACAATAACACCACCATTGTCCTTCATCCACTGGTCATATACTGACGAAACAAACAGTTTAGATCCATTAATATCTATTCTCTTTACTAAATTTAGTGGGAAGTGCTAAATCAATAGGGGGTCATGTAGCACCTGGGGAATGGGAGGTAATCAGGATCAATCCAAGGGAAAAAATTATTAAATTCATTTGATCAAAATCCCTCACTAGAATCAAGGAACCTCCCTAGATGGGATCCACATCCTCAGTATGGTAATCCTTGAAACTGGAGGTATATACAGTGGACCCCCGGTTAACGAACTTTTTTCATTCCAGTAGTATGTTCAGGTGCCAGTACTGACCGAATTTTTTCCCATAAGGAATATTGTGAAGTAGATTAGTCCATTTCAGACTCCCAAACATACACGTACAAACGCACTTACATAAATACACTTACATAATTGGTCGCATTTGGAGGTGATCGTTAAGCGGGGGTCCACTGTACAAAACTCTGATTATCATAATTTTTTTTCAACGTAGCACTTAAGTTGAAAGTGTTATTAATAAACAAACATACCTTCTTTGCACATTAGAAAAGTACCAGTAAGGTTGGTCTCCACCACAGCATTCCAGCCCTTGAGGTTCATGTGTGCTACTGGAGACGGAAACTGACCGCCACCATTATTTACAAGATGGTCTATTCTGCCAAGTTCACGCAGTGTTGACGTAACCAAATTCCTGTTGAATGAAAATTGTCTTTGCAGTTTAATAACAATATAGAATATGCAACTAAATATTGTACACAAACTGATAAACAGATTCAGAATGTATGTAGGAACCCTTTGGAGTAATGGTTGCATGACGCATATATTATGCAGTGACTCACGAAATCGTAATGACACGATTGCAAACAAACCATACCCCGGCCGGGATTGAACCCGCGGTCATTATGATTTCGTGAGTCATGTTGACGGCAGTGAAGGGACTTGAGCTAGAGTTCGTCACGGCCACGCTAGCTGGAGATTCGTCTGTAAAAACTTGCATTTGTGGTCACAGTGGTGCCTGTGCTAACCTTCCTATGGTGTAGAAATATACCTAGTTGGATGAATCTTATTGTGGCCAGCTGGTCTAGTGGCTAATGCGACGGGCTGGAGTTTTGAGACTCTCTGACCGCGGGTTCAATCCTGGCCGGGGTATGGTTTATACAGTGGACCCCCGGTTAACGAACTTTTTTCATTCCAGTAGTATGTTCAGGTGCCAGTACTGACCGAATTTTTTCCCATAAGGAATATTGTGAAGTAGATTAGTCCATTTCAGACCCCCAAACATACACGTACAAACGCACTTACATAAATACACTTACATAATTGGTCGCATTTGGAGGTGATCGTTAAGCGGGGGTCCACTGTATTATGCAGTGCCTGCTATTGAAGTATGTCAACCTCCTGTCAAACCATGACCACAAAATAAGTTGTCTCTTGCACTTTATTACATCCTTTAAATATCTAAGAAGTGATTACTGTACAATCTTAAGGGTTTCATTTATTAAATTACCCCAAGACTCGTGGATGGCAACCTCCAGATATGGGACTAGACTGATATAATCCTTTCCCTCAATCTTTCTTTATCACAGCCCAAAGGTTCTCACTGGGTTTAAGTCTGGGGAATTTCCCAGCCAGTCAATTAAGAAGGGTCTTGTATAAAAATCTTTGCACCACACTGTATGAAACATTTGGGCAAATGATCACAGAACATTACTAGGAATGTTATTACAGCTCACATTAGTGGGCATGTTTTCTATGCTTCCCTTGATATGCTTTTGGTGTGGGTATATCAACATTTTTCTCAAGGAACTGACACAACCAGGTCCTACCTGAATGCTCACACAAGTACATAGCTTTTACTCTTTCCTTGGTTTGATTGCTTGCTTTATGTAATCGAATAAGCAAACAAAAGCAAAATAAATTTTATTTCTTTGTGCAGTATAAAAACTGTAGTTTACGTGTAATAAAATATTGTTAAGCACACGAGAGAGCCACCAGCATGCGTGTACATTTCAGGCAGACTAATTTCAATGCTTACACACTACTTCGGACTAGACATAGGTATTTAGTGGTACAATTTTAAGTACAGCCTCTCTTCACTTAGCGACATACTCGTTTACCGATGACTCGGACTTACGACGGGCTCTCTGACCAGTATGCATACCTAAATAATGTATATTAGAGCTGATTTCTTCTATTCTGTTTATTACAGTATACAGTACACTACTGTATAAACATTTAACCCTTTCAGGGTTTTGGCCGTACTAGTACGGCTTACGAGCCAGGGTTTTTGACGTACTAGTACGCCTAAATTCTAGCGCCCTCAAATCTAGTGAGAGAAGGCTGGTAGGCCTACATATGAAAGAATGAGTCTATGTGGTCAGTGTGCGTGGTATAAAAAAAACCCTGCAGCACACAGTGCGTAATGAGAAAAAAAAAACTTTGACCGTGTTTTTGGATTATAACAGCGACTTTGCACTGTATTTTCGTATGGTATTTATTGTTGTATTCTAGTTTTCCTGGTCTCATTTTATAGAATGGAAGACATATTACAGAAATTGAGATGATTTTGACTGGTTTTACAAAGAAAAGTACCTTGAAATTGAGCTCAAAGTAGCAGAAATGTTCGATTTTTACCAAAGTTCAAAAGTAAACAAATCATGCTATGCGTCCAATAAACACCAACTGGTGAGTCTAATATTCTTTCACAAGTGCGCTGATATTATTTATACCATTTCTACACCAATGCAGTAGTCTGAATAACAGTAAATCTTCTATTTTTTTGTGAGAATAAAAATTCAAAGTGGAAAGCAAAAGAATGTAAAAGGGGCATGGGGACTTGACTAATGAACAGAGGAAATGTTATTTTAGTGCCAGGAATGTCTTTCTTGTTTATTCTGAACCCTATTCGGAAATAGGCATCTTTTGAAATTTGTGTAAAATTGGCAAAATTGCTAAATTCTGACCACAGTATTGGATAGTTGAAATCGGTAAATGGGTGGTTTCTTGTACTCATTCGATAGAAAAAATGGAGTTCTAACGAAACAGTTATGATTTTTGTCGACAAGTACACTGGAACTTGCCAAAAATAGGGCTCAAAGTGGGCAAAATCGCTGATGCGTAAACATCGTCGAGACCGCTAACTTCGCGAGAGCAAAATTCCGTAAGTTTTCCATCAAATTTCATACTTTTCATGTCCTTATAATCAGGAAAAGATCCTCTATCTTTTCATAAGAAAAAATAATTTTTTTTTTTAAATTTGGCCGACCCTGAGAACAAGTTTCTGAGAGGGCCTGTCGACACTGAAAGGGTTAAATTATTTTTTTTTTTTATTATCACACTGGCCGATTCCCACCAAGGCAGGGTGGCCCAAAAAAGAAAAACTTTCACCATCATTCACTCCATCACTGTCTTGCCAGAAGGGTGCTTTACACTACAGTTTTTAAACTGCAACATTAACACCCCTCCTACAGAATGCAGGCACTGTACTTCCCATCTCCAGGACTCAAGTCCGGCCTGCCGGTTTCCCTGAACCCTTTCATAAATGTTACTTTGCTCACACTCCAACAGCACGTCAAGTATTAAAAACCATTTGTCTCCATTCACTCCTATCAAACACGCTCACGCGTGCCTGCTGGAAGTCCAAGCCCCTCGCACACAAAACCTCCTTTACCCCCTCCCTCCAACCTTTCCTAGGCCGACCCCTACCCCGCCTTCCTCCCACTACAGAACCATGTTAAGTTAATTTTATGATGTGTTGTATAATATTATGCCGCACTTTTTCAAAAGTGTAATAACCAAAATGTGTCAAATAAACCTGTGTAATACATGTATAATTGTCTACTGTATACCAACCTATAGTAATTACTAATTTAAAAATAATTTTAAGTTCAGTACTTACTTAACTTGATCTTCTTTCCTGATGTTGCAAACTTTGGCACGAAGTTGACTTCCATTTGGACAAAGTTCTTGAACTGCCTCTCTCAATCTATCTTCTTTTCTGGATGCAATTACCACTGTACAACCTACAAACAATGAAGACTTTGTTAATACATATAATTTTTGTAATTAGGCTTAATTCTAGTCATGTTTCTACATGTGATTATTATTGAGTAAATTATCACTGAACATTGCCTTTACTCAGAAGGGTGGACAAGGGATATTGTGGACCATCAAGTCATTTAACCGTCTGACTGTCAAACCGTTGATCAATGCATTACTGCTCGCACTCCAGATGTTGATCAATGCGTTATTGCTCGTGCTCCAGATGTTGATCGATGTATTACTGCTCGCACTCCAGATGTTGATCAATGCGTTACTGCTCGTGCTCCAGATGTTGATCGATGCATTACTGCTCGCACTCCAGATGTTGATCAATGCATTACTGCTCGTGCTCCAGATGTTGATCGATGTGTTACTGCTCGTGCTCCAGATGTTGATCGATGTGTTACTGCTCGTGCTCCAGATGTTGATCGATGTATTACTGCTCGCACTCCAGATGTTGATCAATGCGTTACTGCTCGTGCTCCAGATGTTGATCGATGTATTACTGCTCGCACTCCAGATGTTGATCAATGCGTTACTGCTCGTGCTCCAGATGTTGATCGATGCATTACTGCTCGCACTCCAGATGTTGATCAATGCATTACTGCTCGTGCTCCAGATGTTGATCGATGTGTTGCTGCTCGTGCTCCAGATGTTGATCGATGTGTTACTGCTCGTGCTCCAGATGTTGATCGATGTGTTACTGCTCGTGCTCCAGATGTTGATCGATGTGTTACTGCTCGTGCTCCAGATGTTGATCAATGTTTTACTGCTCGTGCTCCAGATGTTGATTAATGCACAATTTTTCCTGTGTTCAAATCTGACACCAGAGGCCTGATAGACCTATGCAGTATAGAATGGGTCTTGACACTCTCTGTGCACATATTAACCCTTTCACTGTCGAGACCCCTGATCCTGAACTCACTCTCAGTGTCAAAGGATTTAAAAAAAAAAAAAAAAAAAAAAATTTCTTATGAAATGAGAGATTTTTTTCCCAATGGTAATGACACAAAAAGTATGAAATTTGATGGAAAACTTATGGAATTACACTCTTGCAAAGTTAGCAGCCTTGGCGATATATACGCATCGGCAATTTCGCTCATTTTGAGTCTTATTTTTGGCCAATTTAATTGTTTCAGTCTACCAAACTCGCAGTTACTTCTTTAGAACTCCAGTTGTTCTATCAATTGAGTACAAGAAACTGCCCATTTACTGATTTCAACTACCCAATAAAGTGGTTAGAAATTGGCAATTTGGCTAATTTCATGCAAATTTCAAAATAGGGTCCCGAATAAACAAGACAGACATTCCTGGCACTAAAATAAAATTTTCTCTTATCATTAGTTACATCTCCAGGTCCCTCTTATATTACTCTTGCTTTCCATTTTGAATTTTTATTCACACAAAAAACAGAAGATTTACTGTCATGCAGATTACTGCATTATTATATAATTGTATAAATAATGTCAACCCACTTGTGACTGCATATCAGAATGGCCAGTTGGACACGTATTGGATGGCGACATCGTTTGTTTACTCTTGAACATCGCCAAAAAATCGAACATTTCCACTACTTTGAGCTCAATTTCAAGATACTTTCATCATGAAACCAATCAAAATCATCTCTATTTCTGTGATATATCTTCCATTTTATCAAACGTGACCAAAAAATGAGAATGCAACCATAAATACCATACGAAAATACACCTCAAAGCCAGTGTTTTAATACAAAAACATGGTCGGAGTTTTTTTTTCTCATTATGCACCGAGTGCTGCAGAATTTTTTTTATACTGTGCATGCTGACCATGCAGACCTATTCTCTCACATGTAAGCCTACTAGCTTTCTCCTGCTAGATTTGAAGCTGCTAGAATTTTGGGGTATTTATACATCACAAACACTGGCTCGTAAGACGTATCTATACAGCACCAACAGTGAAAGGGTTAAAAAAAGAGGAACTAAGTGTGGGCACTAAGTGTGCACCTTATTGTGCACACTTAGGCACTGCTGTCTTGGCTTTAGGTTTCTCCTTATCGTGATTCCCAAGTCCTTTCCACAGTGTGTGATCAAGCTCTTTACCTAGTTTATAACTTCGAGGGTTATTTTCATTCCCCACTGAACTTCATCTGCCACTTCTCAGACCAAATCCTCATTGGTATACTCCTCAGAAGCAATCATTCAGCCTATTTCTGTTGTTTTTCTTTGTTTATTAACACATCGGCCGCTTCCCACCAAGGCAAGGATTACACCAATACACAAAGGTGGTGACCCAACAGATGTAAACAATTACAGTGGACCACTGCCTTACGATCAGCTCCCAATGCGACCAATTATGTAATTGTATTTATGTAAGTGCGTTTGTACGTGTATTTTCGGGGGTCTGAAACGAACTAATCTAATTCACAATATTCCTTATGGGAACAAATTCGTTCAGTAACGGCACCTGAACATACTTCTGGAATGAAATAATATCGTAAGGCGGGGGTCCACTGTATAGGACAGTATCAAACTTGCCTTTACTTTCCAAAATCTTCAAGAAACTCATACACAAAGCATCCTCAACCCCTGCCAGTTTGGCTTCAGGAAAAACAAAAGCAATAATAAAAATGCTAGACCAAATTTACACAGCACTTGAAAAAACAAATACCCGCTTGGACTCTTGATACAGCTTTTGATACAGCAGACCACAGCATCCTACTCCTCAAGCTTGATCACTGCAGTGTAAGAGGCCAAGCACTTTCCTATATCAGGGCAGACTTTACTAAATGAAAGCAGAATGTTTCTATCAAGGACACAACCTCCTCAACAAGACCCCTGGACACTGGTGTACCACAGGGAAGCATTCTTGGCCCTCTCTTTTTCCTTTTATACATCAACAACCTTCCAACACGTCACAACAACTTACGCTTATTCTCTTTGCTGATGACACTACTTTTATCATCTCCCACCCTAATCTAGCCTCACTCAATACTATTATTAATGAAGAGCTCGCAAAATAGCATAACTGTCAACAAACTTACAGTGAATATAGACAAAACCTTTTACATTATGTTTGGGAGTAGAGCAAGTGAGGTCTAACTAAACATTATTCTTAACAACATCTTTATTGTTAAATATAACGAAGGAAAATTCCTGTGTCTGCACTTTGACAGCAACTTGAAATTCAACACCCATATCCAACACATAACAAAGAAAATATCTAAAACAGGATACTCTGAAAGATACGTAACTATGTCCCACACTATACCATTCACTGACAAGATACTGTAGAGAAGAGATACATAAACCTCTCTAACAACTTTAAGACAGAGAGAGAGATTTCGTTCGGATTTTTAACCCCGGAGGGTTAGCCACCCAGGATAACCCAAGAAAGTCAGTGCGTCATCGAGGACTGTCTAACTTATTTCCATTGGGGTCCTTAATCTTGTCCCCCAGGATGCGACCCACACCAGTCGACTAACACCCAGGTACCTATTTGCTGCTAGGTGAACAGGACAACAGGTGTAAGGAAACGTGTCGAAATGTTTCCACCCGCCGGGAATCGAACCCGGGCCCTCCGTGTGTGAAGCGGGAGCTTTAGCCACCAGGCCACCAGACCACACTTTGTTGGCAAATACTTTCCAACATCTTTTCCAGTACCTCATTCCAAGTATATACCTCCACGACTTGACTTAAGAAATCGTAATGACACGATTGCAAATAAACCATACCCCCGGCCGGGATTGAACCCGCGGTCATAGAGTCTCAAAACTCCAGCCCGTCGCGCTAGCCACTAGACCAGCTAGCCACAATAAGATTCATCCAACTAGGTATATTTCTACACCATAGGAAAGTTAGCACAGGCACCTCTGTGACCACAAATGCAAGTTTTTACAGACGAATCTCCAGCTAGCGTGGCCGTGACGAACTCTAGCTCAAGTCCCTTCACTGCCGTCAACATGACTTAAGAAATCGTAATGACACGATTGCAAATAAACCATACCCCCGGCCGGATTGAACCCGCGGTCATAGAGTCTCAAAACTCCAGCCCGTCGCGCTAGCCACTAGACCAGCTAGCCACAATAAGATTCATCCAACTAGGTATATTTCTACACCATAGGAAAGTTAGCACAGGCACCTCTGTGACCACAAATGCAAGTTTTTACAGACGAATCTCCAGCTAGCGTGGCCGTGACGAACTCTAGCTCAAGTCCCTTCACTGCCGTCAACATGACTTAAGAAATCGTAATGACACGATTGCAAATAAACCATACCCCCGGCCGGGATTGAACCCGCGGTCATAGAGTCTCAAAACTCCAGCCCGTCGCGCTAGCCACTAGACCAGCTAGCCACAATAAGATTCATCCAACTAGGTATATTTCTACACCATAGGAAAGTTAGCACAGGCACCTCTGTGACCACAAATGCAAGTTTTTACAGACGAATCTCCAGCTAGCGTGGCCGTGACGAACTCTAGCTCAAGTCAATCCCGGCCGGGGGTATGGTTTATTTGCAATCGTGTCATTACGATTTCTTAAGTCATGTTGACGGCAGTGAAGGGACTTGAGCTAGAGTTCGTCACGGCCACGCTAGCTGGAGATTCGTCTGTAAAAACTTGCATTTGTGGTCACAGAGGTGCCTGTGCTAACTTTCCTATGGTGTAGAAATATACCTAGTTGGATGAATCTTATTGTGGCTAGCTGGTCTAGTGGCTAGCGCGACGGGCTGGAGTTTTGAGACTCTATGACCGCGGGTTCAATCCCGGCCGGGGGTATGGTTTATATACCTCCACATCCACCACTGGCAAGGCCACCACCAGTAATAGACAGGACATGGTTCAATCCTCTGCAGGGGTATACATAATCCTTTGCAATGACTGCAACCAATATATGTGGCAAGACATCCAGAGATTTCCAAACACATATTTCGTAACACCAGTAAGAAGGCATTCAACATCAAAATTTCCACAACCCTTTAATCAACTACAGAAACACAAGACTTAT